AGCTTTAACTGTATAGCAATAGATTCACATAATAATCACATTAAGTATTTTCTGTAAATGTTACTTTTAAACACCTTTTACTTTTTGCTAAGCGTTTCAATGATTCAATGATTCTTAGATCTAAACAGTTTAAGTATAACATAATCCGATATGAAAACGATAGAAATAATTTTCAAGACTGAACAGGTTCATGTATGGCGTAGTACGTCATAAAACGGATGAAAATCCCGTGGAATCACATTTTTTAGTTCTTGAAGGTGTTTGTACTTTGATTCTTTCACCTTACATTGTGTAGCGTGAAGTGGTGCAACTGTCATTTCAGGTGTAGCTTGTTCATTAAGTTTGGCCTTTCTAGGAAAGTCACAAAACTCCTGATCATACATCAGCTTATACCTAATACCACAATGGGGAGAATATTCCAAAACACGAATGTCAGTCACAACAGGATCACCTACTTTAGTACCTGGCCTGATACTTGAATACAAGTTTATGTGCGAAAAGTTCTTGAAAAATGTGTGATCGACGTAGTGAACATGGTAAGGTTGAGACGGACGGACAGATTTGATTATATCTACGTAATTCTGTGGCACATAAATTGGCTTTCTCTTCAGTTTGCTTTCAATGGTGCTGTGTACGCTGTCTACCTCCATTTGGGTATGTCCTTTCTCCAAATATTTTTGTAAGATAGTTAAACCCCTTTCTTTTGCTAATTTGGACAATGCGTTTGCTAACACCGTGTTCCGGTTCTGGTATGTGCAACCATCGCTGTAAAGTACAACTGTTTTAATCTCTTTATCAGATTGAGCTAGCATGTCTTCAATAAAGTGGACAATACAAGAAGCAAACGAATTTCCAGTCAGATCACCCTCACCTTCGTGCCAAAAGTAGCAAGTAACATCTTTCGTTGCTAAGTCATAGAGTGTGAAATTATGGCATGCAAGCTTGGTCTTATAATAAAGAGCGCTGGCCTGAAGTCTTGGTGAAAGAAGAACGCACTGAAGATCCATAGTTACAACTATTGTCAGATATCGACTTTTCCTTGTCTCTGTTCTTTTCGTCTCTTGCAGCTTGTTTCCTTGACAAGTGTTTCTGAAACACTTCCTCTTTAATATTGCCAGTTTCAAACCCACAGCACAGATCACACTGGTCTTTTTTTGGAGAAAAAAGACTCAGATTTTGGTCATCAAACTCGGATTTAAACAACTTAAGACACGCTGCTTTCAAGCTATTTTCATCACAATATCGTTTGTATTCATGATGCAACTCCGTCAGTGTAGTAAAAAGAGGTTCCAAGTATTGCTTAGAGCTTGAGGACCTGCAGTAATGAGACTCTAGTTTCGGAAGTGTTTTCAAAAAGTCAACAACACTCGTCCTTAACTCTGCGTCTCTTTTTCTCCTCGTGTCTCCTTTCTTAGATGGAGGTGGATTGATTGGAATACCTGTGCTCGACATATTGACCCAACCATAAACAGTTTGTTCTCCTACAGCCAAAGTTGTTAGAAACATACTTTTACATACCACAACTTTTTCCTGGCCTTTCCACAATCTATAAACAAAGCTATGGCTTTTCCTACTTTCGGCTGCTGCTGTTCTTTTTCTACTTGTTTCAGATTTAGACACCAGCGAGTTGACATACACTTTTCGTTGATTCCAGTCAAGGTTATTCCAAAATTTATTAAAAATAACAAGCCTGTCATCTTCACTAAATTCTGCACACATTTTAACTTTTGAGTTTTGGCATTTTTTGGAACAACCTTTTGGGGCCAATATGCGACCTGGTCTTTGAGCCGAAAACTGATATTTGCCGTCTTTTTTTGTCAGTCCAGAATACTGTTTTCCTGACATTCTCAGCATTTTGTTTTTGTTTTTTACCCATTCATTACTATTACATTTCTTCCTTTTGACTGGTTTCTCATCGACAACTTCCTCATGATCTACCTTCATATCTTCATCTACAGGATCATCAGCATCACTCTCTGGTACGTAATCTGGATCATCAAAACTGTCATCAGCTTCTGAAAAATCATGTTCTGTTTCATCCAAAGTATTTTCTTGTAGATTTTGCCTTTTGCTATTTGGAGATTTGACGTTTAAACTAGAACCAGAAAATTCATTATCTGTTTCCAGAAGGGTCTCATAGCAAGTAATATCTGGAATATCTGCATCACTAGGAGCAATATCTGGAATCTCATTTACATTGGTAGCTGTAATTGTACTACCCTGCACTGTACAATGTACGCCATCTCCAGAACTTGTGTGGGTGTTGTATTCATTGGTGTTACTTGAGTTTGATTTGTCCGCATTCTGTCTTGCAAGACGAACCATTAACATACCCCGTGAAAGCATATTTTTGATGTTTCAAAAAGCCACAGCATTAGCAACCGTTTTTACAGTTTGGATGGAACTTAAATTCAATTTGCTCATATGAATTGCCCTTTCTTGATATAACTAAATATCTAGGTGTCGAGGACGGAAACATACTGTAATAAAAATATTGCATAAAATTGTATTGGGTGTTGTTTGTCTTTGCAAATGTTCCATTTTCACGTTCCCTCAGTAACTCCAACTGCGAGTGCTCATAGTGTTTGAAGTTAATCAAAGTTTTTATATCGGCGCCGTTTCGTTTCCAAACGTTACTCATACTTAAAGGATCACATGCCCCAGCCACAGTCTGCACATAAATAGTCCTCTACGAAGTCACCTTCTGTTAAATTGTCAGGTAAGTTTTCTACGCACTCATAATGGAAATATCGGTGACAACAGAGACACCATAACCAAATTTTTCCATCAGTATCAGTAAAAACATACTGTCCAGTTAACTGTTGATCTTCTAAATGAAAAGGATTTTTTGCAACCCTATCACATTGGCAACATGTCCATATTCTTTCAAAGTCTTCACAAGAAGATGTTGACATTACTACCTACAATATAATAAGCACAGCATCACTCAAGTGTCCCAACCAGACGCTACGAGTGTTACGTCATAAAATAGACAAGCAATATCAATGTCCCCTTCAATACAAACACAAAGTTACGTTTGTTATGTAAGAAGAAATTTTATATTAGGATTCATTACAGTCATGACTATATTGAAAGTACCTGTAGTAAGTTTTCAAGCTTTTTCCAGTCAATTCAGGACAATGCCTATAATTTCTTGTTCGTAATTTAGTCTAATAGTCTGTATGCTATAAAATGCCGTGTAATTCTGAGATAAAAATACTTGTATTATTTCTTAAAAATGAGCTTCTATTGGAAGACAAAATATAGTATGTCCAAACTTTGCTAAATAGAAAGCGAAGTGGAAACACTTTCAAAATGTCGTATGTCCATCAAATCACAAAAAAATATGGGAAAACTGAGGGTGGTGATAGATCCAAATTGTCTTAAGTGGATATATGGAGTAAAAGAACCCAATCGCTGTTTAGAAACTAGGCAGTAAAAATGCAGTTTTAAAGACAGAAGTAAAATGCATCAAATTATCGTATGTGACATACACCCCAAGAAAGAGGTCTAAAATATCGTATGTGAAAATAAACTTACTAAAGTTATACGTCTCGTTTTAAAAAAAGAAAAATAAATAAATTGAAATATTTCTTGTTTACTATACAGCTCATTAATGCAGTCAAATGCAAAAAATTACTCACAGAATATCGTCAAATGGTCCTCGGCTCCGATGAACAAGTTAGACCTTCTCATCACACGTTAATTCAATGGAGATGTGACATACGAGATCTTGTCACGACTTTCATTTGGACCAATGCAAGTACAATTTTTGAACACATGGTTATATCTCAAAATTTCATTGGTGCTGCATTACAATATTTTGTCAGGAGGTGCATTTTAATTTGTAAATTGGCGCTATGTGAAAAAGCTGTTTTCCACAAAAATGGACTTACGAGGTTTTGTCAGCCAGCCGACGATATGTAGTTAAATTCTATGTACAGTCTCAGTTCAATGTCTATTTCTTGTCATATTTTCTGTAATTTCATAATTGTAGTGTTTAGATGTAGAGTAATGGGAAATAACTCTGATTGTCTTATGTGTGGAGTTATCGTTCTTGTGAAACATCCGGGCATTATTATTAAAACAGGCGGCCATTGAACGAGACCAGTTTTGTGTGTTATGATTCAATTCGGGCTCTGATTCAATTCGACACGACAATCTGGCGACGAGGATATTGCGAATACGTTAGTAAATGTATCAAGAACTGGTGTATGTAAGAAATACGAACTGTCATTTGTGAAAATGTCTTCGATCGACCTGAATGGTATTGAGCCGTTCAACGCAAATGGTGACCCAGGTCATTTACAGCAGGAATGGAAGCGATGGCTTCGTAGTTTCGATTTATTTGCCACTGGCAAGGGTGTAACAGACAAGAAACAGTTGAAAGCGTTATTACTACACTGTGCAGGGGTACCAGTTCAAGACATCTATTTCACGCTAACAGAGGCGGAGGGAGGTGATGAGTATGCTGTAGCGGTAGCCACACTGAGTAAACATTTTGAAACAAAAATAAACGTGCCATACGAACGGTATGTATTTCGGTCAATGTGTCAGGAAGACGAGTCTATCGAACAATTCATCACCAGACTCAGAAGACAAGCAGTTCTTTGTGAATTTGGGAACATTGAGGAACAAATAAGGGATCAAATAATAGAAAAATGTAAATCTCATAAACTTAGAACCAAATGTCTGGAAAAGGGGAAGGAATTGACACTTGATCAATTACGCACAATCGCGGCTACAATGGAAATGGCAGATGTCCAGGCTAAGAAAATGGAGTCTCCTCTAAGCTCAGTCAATCAGATAAACTTTGTGAAACAAAAGGACACAAAACGGTCAACAAGTAGTAGCACAAAGGCTTTATGTTTTCGATGTGGACGTGAAGGTCATTTCGCGAAAGATTCAGGCTGTCCAGCGAAAAACAAAAAGTGCAATAAGTGTGGTAAGATGGGGCATTTTCGTGCATGCTGTAAAACAAAGGAACCACGTTGTCTAAAGGCAGAGAGGTCAACATTGTCAAAGGTCAAAGGTAAAGTGAACTGTGTAGAGTCAGAGGCAGAGTATGCATTTAGTGTACAACACACAGATGCAGACAGACTTTCGTTCATGGTTGGTGGTCACAAAGTTGATATGGTTGTGGATAGTGGAGCGACAGTCAATATCATTGACAAGCCTACATGGGAGGACTTAAAGAAAAGAAAGATTGTGTGTCGTTCAGAGAAAACTGACAAACGGCTGTATTCATATGGAGCAGATAAACCTTTATCGTTACTTGGCAAATTTATTACTACGGTGTCTGTTGACGGAAGTGATGATGAAATTGAGGCTGCCTTTTATGTACTTGATGGCACAGGTTCGGCTTTATTAGGGAGGGCTACGGCAGTAGATCTCGGAGTGCTGAAAATTGGAGTCTACTCAGTCCATGATGATATATTGGATAAGTACAAGTCATGTTTTGGAGGAATTGGGAAGCTGAATGACTTCAAATTGAAGCTTCATATTGATCCATCTGTAAAACCGGTGGCACAACCTATGTATAGGATTCCTTACAGTCTACGAGAGAAAGTCGGTGCTAAACTTGATGAACTTGAGGATCAGGACATTATCGAGAAGGTGAATGACCCAACCCCGTGGGTTAGCCCGGTAATAGTTGTCCCAAAACCTAATGGCGATATCAGGATATGTGTGGATATGAGACAGGCTAATCAAGCTATAGTCCGTGAGAGACACCCAATACCCACTGTGGACGAGATACTGTACAATATGAATGGGAGTACAGTGTTCAGCAAATTAGATATGAAGTATGGATATCACCAGATAGAATTAGAAGATTCATCAAGGGAGATAACTACATTTGTGACGCATCAAGGATTATACAGGTATAAGCGGCTGATGTTTGGTATCAGTTCAGCACCAGAGAAGTATATCAACAAATCATATCACAGACATTTCATGATTGTGAAGGGGTTCAGAATATATCCGATGATATTGTGGTTCATGCAGGGATAAACATGAACATGATCAAAGGCTAGAGAAAGCATTGTGTAGACTGCAGGAAAAGAACTTAACTCTGAACAAGGAGAAATGCGAGTGGGGAATGGACAAGATCACATTTATGGGTCATGTATTGTCAAAAAATGGAATCGCGCCGACATCCGATCGTTCAATGGCCATTATTGAGGCTCAGAGGCCACAAAGTGCATCTGAGGTGAGAAGCTTTTTAGGCATTGTCAACTTTAGTGCTCGCTATATTCCAAACTTGGCTACATTGTCTGAACCCTTGAGACGACTTACCAAGTCCAGTGTAAAGTTTTTGTGGGGACAGGAACAGGAGGATTGTTTTCGAGCATTAAAGGAAAGCCTTGTGAACGCAGATACATTGGGACATTTCCGATTAGACGCAACAAAAACACAACTTGTGACTGACGCGAGTGATGTAGGTTTAGGGGCTGTACTCGTTCAGGAATCTGAAGGCGAGACCAAAGTTATCAGCTATGCTAGTCGTACACTGACTGATGTTGAAAGAAGGTACTCAACCACAGAAAAGGAGGCCTTAGCAGTGGTTTGGGCATGTGGAAAGTTCCACATATACCTGTATGGCATTGATTTTGAGCTGGTGACAGACCACAAACCATTGGAAATACTGTATGGTCCAAAATCCAAACCTAACGCGCGTATTGAACGGTGGGTTATGAGACTGATGCCCTACAATTTTCGTATTAGGTATCAACCTGGTAAACAGAACATTGCTGACGCATTGTCGCGACTTGTGAAAAGGAAACACAGTGGTGTAACAGATCTACAAACAGAAACAGAGCATTATGTCAGAGCTGTGGCAGAGAGAAGCACTCCAAAAGCAATGACAACTCGTGAGGTGGAGGAAAAATCCAAGTCTGATCCCGAGCTAACACTGGTGAGAAAGGCTTTATCTGCAGACCAGTGGGAAAAGGAATGTGTAAAGTATTATGCGGTAAAAGATGAACTGTCCCAGATAGGGTACCTGCTGTTACGTGGAACACGATTGGTTATTCCAGCAGTGTTACGAACAGAATGTATTAAATTAGCTCACCAGGGACACCTTGGTATTGTCGCTACAAAGCAACAGCTACGAACTAAAGTGTGGTGGCCAACTTTAGATAAGGACGTAGAGGCTTATGTCAAGTCATGTCATGGCTGTCAAGTGGTAAGTTCATTGCCACGGCCCGAGCCCATATCGCCGACCCCTATGCCATCAGGACCATGGCAGGATCTCTCGATAGACCTGCTAGGACCTTTACCGTCAGGACACTACGTGTTTGTTGTAATAGACTATTACAGCAGATATTATGAAGTGGACATTACAAAGGATATATCTAGTGAAAGGATGATTGATGCACTTGAGAACATGTTTGCACGTTATGGACTTCCGGTATCGATTACATCAGATAACGGTCCTCAGTTTGTGTCGGCCTTGTTCGAGGAATTTCTATGTGATAATGGAATTCATCACAGACGTGTTACTCCGCTCCACCCAGCAGCAAATGGAGAGGTGGAACGACAGAACAGATCTATCATGAAACGAATACGTATTGCTCATGCTGAATCAGGTGACTGGAAGAAAGATTTGAGAACTTATCTTTTGGCATACAGGGGCACGCCCCATGCTGTAACAGGTGTTTCTCCAGCAGAGTTAATGTTTGGGCGTAAATTGAGGAATAAAGTACCTCAACTTGATGTTCATCGGAATGAAACCATCGAAGAAGGAGTTCGTGATAGAGACTGGTTTGCAAAAGTCAAAAACAAACTTTACATTGATGAAAAACGTGGTGCAAAAGAATCAGATCTAGTTGAAGGAGATCAGGTGTTAGTTAAACAGTCGAGGAACAATAAGCTAAGTTCTCCATTCAACCCAACTCCGTTTAAACTCCAAAGGAAAGTTGGAAATCAGTGTACTCTTGCTTCTCCTGAGGGAGTTGAGTATAAGCGTAATGTTGTGTAATTACCTATAAATGGGTGTAGCGCAGATGCAGTGTCATTGGGTGAGGGGAGATAATTCACATACAATGTAGCACTTACAATTTTGTTTGTAACTCTCCGGGGCACGGAGATAAAAAAAAAAGGAGAGAGAATAAAAAGATGGAACCGGAGGTGTGGATGTGTTTTCCCTATGTGTATAGATTCGCATAAACTACATTTCTGCACAAACTATATATTTACATCACATGGTGGAGAATCGATCTTCGTTTCCGGTACCTCATCACAAGTCTATCTTCGGTTCCAGGTGCTATTTTGATGTTTATTGACAATGCCACATTTTTCATCGGTCATCCACGTGACTTTTTCGCGGGAAACGCACGCCTTGACTGAACTGTTTCTTTTTTACAATGCCTTCTCTTCGATATAACAATGATATGAACTTTAGCAGGTGAGGACCGATTTTATCAGCTCAACCACACAACAGTTTCCAATCAATATTTTAATCACATACGGAACTAATTATTGAACATTTCCCTGTTTTGATACGTGTGAATATCTGATGTTTTATAATGACGCTTCTAAATGGATTCGTTCAACACCGACGATTTAAGTTCAACAGTTTTGTACAGTTTGTCGGAATATGAACTTACTGATTCTGCTGATGATACCGACTTAACTACAGGTGTAAATCTTGGACGATCCGATGTCGAATGTAATAATGGTATATTATCGGACACATTTTTGAAAACTCATTGTCTGCAGGCATCAGATTTTGGTGATTCTCCGCCGTCTGATCTTATACGTTCGAACATAAATTGTGCTGATGAATATTTATTTTTTCCACGTCGTGAGTCTTCAGTAAAAACATTTACGCCCAGAGTAACTACTGATACAGCCTGTAATAAACGTTTTGCTGCTTACACTAAGAAACATACTTCTGTGTGTCGTATTAGTTCTAATAACCACAAACCTTTCACCATGGACATATCTAAGTGCCGGAAATTTTCAGGCTTAGCCTATGAGAATGCTGCGAAGTTTATGCAGGAGTTTCAGTCTTATGTCAATTTGTACTCTTTGGCTGGAGACCCCGACAACCAGATAGACGATAAACGTGTGCCATTATTCCATCTCTTACTGCATGGACCGGCTCAGACCTGGTTTAATACAAACAAATTACATGACCAAAAGTGGGAAGTTGTACAGCAGGCCTTCCAAGATGAATACACAAAACTCTCTGCTTCAAGTCCGGCCCTACTTCTAGAAGTGCAAAATTTTGTGAACATGACACTTTCGCCCCACGAGCCACTTGAGGATTTTTACGCCCGACTTATTGAAAGGGGCCAACGGGTGGGCAAATCTGATGTCGAAATATTGTCCAAGTTTATTTCTGCACTGCCGGAAAAGTTGCAGTTTTTTGTAAGTGCCGGTCAGCCGATGGACAGTCACTCTGCATTGACAGCTGCACAGATGGGTAGCTTATATGGTTTTCGTTCTGGGGATGCTAGTGTGTCACATCTGATACCTGTGTCTAGTAACACCGGTGGTACTCCAACCAGTGTGTCGCATGTAGCCCCTGTGTCAACTACTAGTACCAATGCTGACTTGAACTCTATTGTTGAGAAACTTAATACAGTCGTAGACAAGATGGCAAATACACATCTAGTTAACTTAGAGACACATGAACGATATGGGCGTTCCCCTGATATTACCACGTCACGTGTACGCGAGCGCGCACCAGACAGAACAAGCCCTTATAACCGTGCTGGTTTCATAACATGTCATCGGTGTGGAGGTAAGGGACATAAGCAATTCGAGTGTTTATGGAATGGACAAGGTATTCCATCACCTGATGTAATCTGCCAACTATGTTGTCAGGATGGCCATACCGCGTTAATGTGTGGACAGTTAAACTACCAAGCCCCGGCGAGGAACTCACGGCACAACTCTCCGGGCCATGTACCTCCAGTGCCATACCAATTCCCCAGACCACCTCAATTTCCACATATGATGCCACCACACTAGAAACTGACTCTGACACAAACACTGACTTTAAGTCTGATGGTGCCACAAAATCAGATATGAACTCGCATTTCTTGTACATGCCTGTCAAATTTGGTAACTTAGATGTTGCTGCTTTGATTGATACGGGTAGTCAGATAAATGTCATGTCCCATTACATGTATGACTCAATTCCTGCCCATTGTAAATCATCACTTTGTGTTGATAGTTGTACCAACATTGTTTTAGCAAATAACCAAACAATCCACGTCTATGGTAAAGCAAAAGTTTACATGAAAACTCCCCATGGTAACCATAGTATTGAAGTTTTTGTCATTCAGGAAAGCTCCCACCCTTTACTGTTGGGAGTTAGTTATCTGGCTACCTATAATATTACCCTAGATTTTGGTAATTACACTTACTTGTCAGACAGAGCTGATATAGTGTGTTCGAAAAGATGTGTGATTTCACCCAACAGTGAATGTCAATTATGGGCTTCTGTTCCAAATACTTTATATGGTGTCCAGGGTGTATGTCAGGGTAATACAAAACTACACAAAAGTGGTTTACTTATGGCTAAGAGTGTTGTAAATGTCAATAAAAAGTGTATGATACCTGTACAACTACTAAATCCCACAGGTAAATCAGTAACAGTGCCTAGAGGCAAGGTTTTGGGGCGATTTCAAGTTTTAAATTTCAACAAAGATGTTATATTGAATGACCACAATTTCAATGTTCATGCTCCAGATACATTTCCAGACAAAGGTCATGCTAAATCTGGGCCTACTAACTCCAGTGTAGATTCATTACTTACTGATGCCAAATTTTGCCAAAATGTTGCCCATGTACATGATGCTATGTTACCAACAGATGCTAGTACTAGTTCCGCTGACACTAATGTAGACTTGACCGCTGATGTTGCTAGATGTTGTCATGTTGTTACCAAGTCTTTATCTGATGTCAGTGTACCTAGTTCATCCAATCATTTGATGTCCCCTGTAAATACCAATTTTACTGATGATAAATGTTGCCAACATGTTGCTCAGTCTACATTTGATGTTGGTATGCCCAGTTCAAGTGATGCCACCACTGGTATCTCTAATGTTGCCCAGCATAGCCCATTTACCCAATCAGTGAATATGTCATGTTGTCAACATCATGGCAAAAGTGATGTCAAATGTACAAATGATGCCAAATGTTCTCATGTTGTCAACACTTGTCTTGATGCCAAATGTTGTCAAAGTGATACTACAAATGATGTCAAATGTTGTCATGTTGCCAAGTGTCACATTTTTGATTCACCTGTTTTTGATAAATGTGTTTCTAAGGAAAATATTCAAGCTGCCAAACCTTGTACAAATGTTGACTTATTTGAGAAATGTAATTGTGCTGTTGATGATTTACCTTTGCAATCAAATTTCTGCACAGCACATAGGAATGTTTTAGATAGTGTAAATAAGATTTATGTACATAATGAGAAGTGTAGTTTGCCGAGTACTAGATTTTTTCAGAATAGCCCTGAAATGTTTTCATGTAACCATTTATCTACATCAAGTCCTACTCATTCTGTAGATAAACCAAGAGCAAGTAACTCTGTTGATAATGAAAGATTTAGTTCTTATTTTGATGTTTCTGATACCCTATCGGAACAGGAAAGGTCACAATTGTTTGAACTTTTACATAAACATGCTGACATTTTTGTTACCCCAGATAATCCGTCACTTGGTTATACGGATCTTGTTCAGCACAAGATTTTGTTAAAACCGGACCCTGTAGCTAAAAACCAGAAACCATACAGACTTTCTCCGGATAAACGTCAGGTTTTGCGTCATCAGTTAGATGAACTCCTATCACAGGGCATCATAACTCCAGTTTCTGAAATGGATGATCTTATTATCACCAGTCCCATTGTGCTAGTGACTAAACGCTGTAAAGACCTGGATAAACTCCAGGATAACTCGCGGGAAAAGAGCTTGGCCCAATATCGTTTCTGCTGTGATTTCAGACATTTAAATTCACAGACACGTCCATTCCACTATACTATTCCCAATCTACAAGAATTGACAGAGTCATTTAGTGAACGTGTACCAAACTTTATCACTTCAATTGACTTGTCGTCTGGATTTTTCCAGATGGGCATTGCTCCCGAGTCGCGACGCTATACTGCTTTTAACACATGTTTCGGGACATATCAATTTCAGCGGATGCCTATGGGCCTATCAACAGCGCCGAATACATTCCAGTTACTAATGGACAAAGTCTTGCATGGCCTTACCTTTCGTGCAGTGTTGTGTTACTTGGATGATGTTTTGGTATTTTCAGAAACGTTTAGCCAACATCTCGCTGATCTACACGATGTATTTTCGAGGTTTCATGCTGCCGGTTTAAAGTTGGGCCCCAAAAAGTGTTCATTTGCCAAATCATCCTGCCTATACTTGGGTCACATCATTTCAAAGGATGGTATTCGCCCTCCACCTGATCGGATTAAAGCGGTACAGGATATGCCTAAACCAAGTAATCTTACTGAGTTGAAACGTTTTCTTGGTCTAATGAACTGGTTTCGCAAATATATACCCAATTATGCTGCAGAGGCTCAGCCGTTGCTACGGTTACTGAAAAAGGACCAGAAATTCATATGGACATGTGAACAGGATGCCGCATTTGTAAAATTGAAACTTCTCCTCTCCGACTCCGATATACTCGCGTTTCCACGCTATGACCTGCCATTTCATCTAGGAGTGGACACATCTTCCAAAGGAATCGGATATATGCTATACCAGCTTCACCCCACAGATACTATGGAAAAGGAGGTTGATAAAACGCATGCAGAACCTAGCATCCACAAAATCATACGGTTTGGATCGAAGTCGTTAAATAAAGGCCAACAGTCATATGGACCTACAAAATTAGAACTGTTGGGTGTAGTGACCAGTGTTCTTGACTGTGCAGATTATTTGCGGGGACGCCATTTTATCATCGAATGTGACCACCAGGCACTCCGACCACTTTACCAGAAACAATTTCATGGTGCCATATATGAAAGATGGTTGGCTATCCTACAGCAGTTCAGCTTTGATTGGGACTACAAACCTGCCGCAAATATGGTCGTAGAGGACGCCCTCAGTCGATGTCGTTCAAATGAAAATGAACATTTCTCCAGCCCAAATGAGGATGATCCGCATTTCCCATATGTTAATGAACCGCAATGTGTCATCAATCTGCCTAATGGACAAGACATCAGAGATTTGTTAAAGTGTCAACATACTGATACTGATGTTCCGTCGGCGAAACATGATGTTGTCATTGTTGATAGTAATGAACAGTGTTTGAACATTAACTCTAAGAAAGTGCAACATGTTGCTTTACGTCAACCAATGCCAGTCTTCGATGATGTTGATGACGGCTATGATGCTGACACAGATGACGCCGTTGATCAAAAACGTATTGGACATTCACGACATATCTACCACAAACGCATGTCTCATGGAAGTACTGTTGCTTCAAAACCTCAACAAAGTCAAGTCTCCAAACCACAGTCCGATATCGGGATAGTCCCTACAGAAACCGTTTCAGACCATAACAATGTTCTGTGTGATTCTTCCATTGGAGTGGATGATGACATTGAAATCTTGAACTCTGTAGACTTAGATTCTTCAGACATCAGTGATGAGCAGGTACTTCAATCCCATCAACTGTTATCGCCACTTTGTTCCGACATTCATATTCCACTACCACCAGCATTGGAAAATCAGATGAATCTGACACAGGACATACAACATACAACGTTGGATGATCGGGAGATGTCCGACAAAGACGACGAGTCAGATCTAGAAATATTAACGGACAGTATTGATGTACAAACAGAATCTGACCCGCAGATTGACCAAATACGGAATCTTGAGGTTTTTAATACAACAAATTTCTCAAGGCAAGATATCATTGATTTACAGAAGGTTGATGAACATTATCGTGACTTATATAGATATCTTTCCAATGGTGCTTTACCTACATCGCAGAAACAAGCGCGAGTGATTTTACTGAAATCTTCTGACTTCATCCTTGTTGATAACCTCCTATTTCATTCTCGGATTGCTAAATCGAAACGCTCTCAGCTCATGGAACACTACCAACTTGCATTGCCACAACCCATGATACGAACTATGCTACATCTTTATCATGACTCTCCTATGGGTGGGCATGGCGGTATTCAGCATACCTATGATACCTTGAGAATGCACTACTATTTCCCCAAGATGTCGTGTATAGTCGGTGATTATGTTCGATCTTGTCACGAGTGTCAAACCCGTAAAATGACGAAGCTACCTACCAAATCAACAATCACTGCTTTCAAAACGCCTTCTGCTCCATTTGAAGTGTGGCAAATTGACTTATATGGACCACTGCCAACTTCTTCCAAGGGTAATTCATACATTTTCACTGCAATTGACTTGTATACGCGGTATTTATTTGTATTACCTATTCCCAGCAAGGACGTGATTACGGTATCTCAGTGTCTTTTTGAACTATTTCAACAATTTGGAGTATGTGACTCGCTTCTTAGTGATCAGGGCACTGAGTTTATGTCGAAATGTACTGCAGAGGTATGTCGTCTACTATCAGTCGCTCAGTTCTTTACTCCCGCCTTTGTGCATCATTGTCTGGGATCATGCGAGCGTGCTCACCGCACCTTAGCTGAGCGGATAACACCATACATTAGCCAAGGTAAGACTTGGGAGGACATATTACCTGCAATTGTGTTTGCAATGAACAACTCCGTAAACAGTGGTACAGGTTACTCCCCGTTTGAAGCTCTGTATGGACAACGACCAAAATTTCCTCTTGGCAATGTTTCTAATACCGACTTTGGACGTCTGCCTGCTACCTGTCATGATTTTATTCGTCAAAGAGCAAAACGGCTGTCACTCATTCGTTCTGAAATGCTTGACAATGTCAATAAGTCACGTGAGAAAATGACGGACCGTGTTAATCGTGATTCGCGCCCATTGGATCTTACAGCTGGTGACTATGTATATCTTCAGACAATACCTACGGGCCAAGGTCACAAACTACAACCAAAGGCGTCCGGGCCTTATGTCGTTCACCAGGTCCTTAGTTCTCATATGATATCCCTGAAGGACAAAGATTCAGGAAAGGTTATGTCTAAACCTGTACACGTGGACCGCCTCAAAATGGCTTACATTCGGGCTCCTAACCCAACAAACTTTTTCATCGATGAAGCCATTACTTCTGTTCGCGCACCTACTCAGGACCCACGTTTTGATGTTTCCACTGATATTGACGCATTTGATGCACCTACTGAGGTTGATTCACCAGGCTCAGCTTTGAACACCGACCTCCCTTCCGATGTGTTTGATTGTACGACTGAAGTCGATTCTTTAAGTGCTGATAACTTTTCCGCATCATCGCATCATACAACATTATCTCTGTTGGTTCGACCTAAACGACAAATTAATAAACCCCTTCGGTTCCGTGATGATGAACACTTTAACCCTGACACTCTCTTCTCGTCTGATATGTTGAGTGATGGTGGTGTACATAAAATAAAGCGTGTGTTAGCTCAACGGCAAGATGGCACAAACACGAACTATCTTGTTCACCTTGTTGGTGAGCCCGCTCAAAATGCGCTCTGGATTCCGTTCAGACGCTTAGATGCTGCTGCTAAACGTCTTGTAAGACGCAAACCTCCCCCAGTTGTATAGGTATTGAAAGCTTGTGTCAGGTTGTATAGTGAACTGTGGGTATTTTGTAAACATTTTTATGCATATGTTGTATTATGTGTTTGACCTTATATTTCTAGTCGTTTTTTTTTAATGGATGATGCTTCACATATGCAACTTTTATGGTTTTATTATCTTAACCTAGTCGATGGAAGATGTTCCTTTAAGATGCAATTTTTCCCATGCGCTCAATGATTATCATGCTACCAATTTGCAAATTTGTGTCTTATGCGCGAGTTTTTTACATGTTTTATGGTTTTGATTACATTGACACAGAGATTCTCAATGCCTAATATTTTGCCCATTGTATATATACTGTATAGTCGTACATCAAATAATACAGGAATATTGCATTTTTTTTCATTTTTTTGTTTTATGATACAAATTATACAATTATTGCCCATGTCCGAATTAATTCGTAGGATTAAATTGTTCTCTTTACAACCTCAGTATTAATGGACTATGAATCACTTACTCTTTTGCCTCTTTTTGGTACATTGCTAATATTGAATTATGAATTATTGCAGTTGATGATGCCAGATGGATTTTGCGCCTAATTGTAGCCATATGCATGTCATATGTTTTTGATATATTTTCATATACAGGTAGTATATCGCATCTTATTTTAAATGGATTTTCAATTTCGAATATTATATGCTGATAGTCCTTGATATGAGTTATGAATGACACTATATACCTTTTTCTTGTTCATAAGTTTTGCTGAATTATGTCTAGATCAATATTGCCATTTATGGATGCTTGAGTATAATCAATTATAGTTGTGTGATCGGTAATTTCTTAAGACTACACCAGGGTATAGAGTATACTTGATTGTCATTTTGACCGTACCTTTTTGTAAATGCTCAAATTTTCCTATACAATGCTTTTGCATACAATTTTTGAGAGTGGGATTCTCCGAGTGTTCAGGTCTGACGAATTATGTCTTATACCCAGTTATGGTAGCAGTATTTACACTAGCTTGTGTCAAAAGGTCATCCTGTTCAGAATGCTATATTTTACTCCATTCCATACAAGTATATTTACCATTTATAATATTGTAATGTTTGTAAAATTGTATAGCGAGTCCTTTTCACCTTTACATCCAATGTCATTGTATCTCCGTACACCCATGATAAAATTGTTTCTCAATTTTACTTTGCGTGGGGGGGATGTTGTGTAATTACCTATAAATGGGTGTAGCGCAGATGCAGTGTCATTGGGTGAGGGGAGATAATTCACATACAATGTAGCACTTACAATTTTGTTTGTAACTCTCCGGGGCACGGAGATAAAAAAAAGGGGAGAGAATAAAAAGATGGAACCGGAGGTGTGGATGTGTTTTCCCTATGTGTATAGATTCGCATAAACTACATTTCTGCACAAACTATATATTTACATCACAACAGTTCAGATTTTTCTATTTTACAGACTTTGGTGAAGAGGAAGTTGGGATTGTGGCAGACCATTTTCATGGGACACTGTCCAGAGCCAACCCGATTTAAACAAAGGCAAAATCTGCAAAGTCGGTTTGGAGCAAGAGACCAAAATAAAGGGCCTAAACAGATGATAGTCGAAATTTGCACAATAGAAAATCTGAAAATTGTAGCACTCCAAAAGAACTAAATTTTCGGACCTGTAAAATTTATTTCGGACCTGTAGAAATATTTGGTTAACTGCCCGAATGACCTGTAGAGATTTTAAAAGTTTGACACATGCTGTTACAGAGAAAAAATTCTGCTGTTCCTCCCATGGAGAAATGAAGAAAATGACATTTTGGCAAACATTCGAGTAAAGCAAAAACAATATCAACACGGTATTGAAGAACTTGAAAACGCGCAACTGCAAGTTGAAATGGATATCGAAGACTTTGATAATATCGCTCCAAATACAGAGCATATTGAGGCTTAAGATGCAGATCCTGGGTGTGAACCATCTGAAGAATTCATTCATTTTGATCCAGATTCTTACGACGATAGAGACTATGACATTGGTCCAGAAATTGGTGTTGCTGCAAAGCAAATGCAACGCTTAAAAGCCGATGAATTGAACCAATCTACACTATTAAAGCAAATTTCTGTTCAACAACGCTAGGTCTCTTAATAAATATTTTGAAGACATTAGATCTGATCCAAATGTTCATTCCTCTGATGTCATTGGTATTGTAGAATCACGTCTTTCTTCAAGAGATTTTGATGAACAGTTTTCACTTGACAGATACAAAATTATTCGCACTGATGCCCATCAAACCTCCTATTTGAGACCTCATCATGGTATTGTTGTGTATGTAAAAAATTCTCATCAAATTGAAAGTTTCCATGCATGTACAACTAAAGAATTTGAGTACTCCAAAGTGTCTGTTAGGTGCTCATCAAAATTAGTTCAGTTTGTTGCTCTATATAAGAAACCATCATGCCCTTCACATGTGTTGTATACAGCACTCAAGAACAACTTTTCTCCCTTTTTAGATACAACACAAGATATTGTGATAACTGGAGATTTCAATAAAGACTTAAACCAATCTAATACGCAGTTCCTAGAATACATGCTTACCATTTTCCACTGTAATCAGTTAATTCAAGAATCAACAACAAAATCTGACACAAAATTTAATTTTTGTTTTTTCTAATGTTGCCAACATACAAACAGGTGTGCTGGACGCATACTGGTCAGACCACATGGTATATTGTACTCTGTAGATAAATTAATTTACTGCTTTGGATGTTCAAACCCGCTGGCAAATCTAAAACCACATTCAAGTTCTGACTTAAATGTGGTTTATAGAGTGGTTCGTGCAAATTATGGGTTGCCACTCAAAACTACAAATCACCCTGCCCCCTTGGTCCGTCCATCCTCCTTTCGTCAATATATATAGTCTGTCCGCCCTTTACCAATTTTTGTTATCACTAAATATCAACAAGTATTAAAGGAGTCTTCATGAAATTTCACAGACAGGTTCCCCCTAGGGTATCATTTGGCACAGTCCACTTTCAGAGAAGTCAGAAGACAAAAGTACTTAAACAATCTTCATAAAATTTCAAACATCTTCTTATTGGAATTTAAAGATTAATATCATTTTGAAAAAAAATAAATAAGAAAATACAAAGGGAATGAAGTCAAAAACCCTTCTCTTAAAGATAAGACAGTAGTTTGATGGTGGGCGCTATGACCTCTCTGGAAAAATAAAATGGTCTATATATTTGTCTTTGGGCTGTTTTGCCTATCAACCTAAATTCATATTTATATTTTAGAATATCTGCTTTTTAAAAGAAATATTGTCAATGCTACAGTTTTATATAGAATTTCTGAATTTGCATTTCATTTGAAAGTTCGCAATTTACGGCAATGTCACAGGAACCAACAGAAACTGTAGACATATTTGTTACTCGATTACTTGAAAAGGCAGCATTCTGTGATTTCGGGGATCGTGTTTGTACTGATGAAATGATAAGGGACCACGTGATCGAGAAATGTAGTTCATCTCGGTTAAGGAGGAAATTTTTGGAGACACGCAATATAACATTAGTTCAAGTCAGAGAAATAGCACAGACATATGAAATGGCACAAAAGGCTGCTAGTTTGATGGAAATGGGGTCCCCCGGAGGACATGACCGAGGGGATATCAACAAAGTGAAAGCGAAACCGAAACCAGGTTATAGCAACCAATGTTATGCTTGTGGTTATACAGGACATATCAAGAGTGATCCAAAATGTCCCGCTAAGGAACGCAAATGCCGAAAGTGTTAGAAAATAGGGCATTTTGAAAAGTGCTGCAAAACGAAAGTAGTAAGCCAACATAAGGACCATAAACGGAAGAAGGGAGGTAACTAACTTCCGTGTGAAACAAGTTGAAACTGAAAGTGATACAGACAATGAATACTTGTTTGGAATTCAGGAGAACAAGCAACCTACCAGTACTTCAGTGGAACTACAGGTAGGAGGGTTTACTAGTTTTTCTCATTGATTCTGGAGCAATTGTAAATATTATTAGCAGAGACAGATGGGAAATGAAGAAACAAGGAAAAGTGAGAGAAATCAGAACAAGAACCAAACTAGAAAACTGTATGCATATGGGAGTACGCAGCCTCTCACTATAATGGGTAGTTTCACAGCAGATGTAAAACTCTGTACAGGATCAACAAGTAAACAGACTGAAGCAGAATTCTTTGTTTTAAAGGAAAAAGGGAAGTCACTCTTGAGCATGACTTTAGCTTTAGAACTTGGCGTATTGAGGCTAGGGCCTGAGGAAAATTCTGTTGCTATCAGTCAGGTTGAAAACTTGAAAGGAAAGTACTCAAAGTTGTTTACAGGACTCGGTAAACTTAAAGACTTTGAATTAGAAATACCTATTGATAATATTGTGAAGCCTGTGGTTCAATCCAGCAGGAGGAATATGTTGTATATTATATCCGGATAATGTGCATGCCTACTCTACGTATTGGTCACGCCATGCGTATGAATATGTGTATAGTGTACTACGTTGTGCGTTGAATAAAAAGTAGTTCCAAGATGGTTAACCATGTGCTAGTGTGATCCCTGAACATTAACCTGTTAACAAACATAACAACTGGCGACGAGGATCGTGGAACTGACTGGCACAGTACACAACATGGCAACAACTGCCATAGGTAAGGTAGATCCATACGATGATACCACAGAACCGTGGGAATCGTACATTGAGAGGGTCGAACAATATTTCATAGCGAACGGCGTGAAAGATGAAGTGAAGGTAGCCTCGTTGGTCAGCCTCCTGGGTGCGAAAACATATGGTCTACTAAAAAACCCAAAGACAAAACGTATGCTGAAATCGTCACGCTACTAAGTAATCACCTCAACCCCAAACCATCCGAAATAGTTGAAAGATTCCGGTTCCATAAACGGGAACAAAACTCGGGCGAGAGTGTTATGGACTATATTGCCGAGCTCAGGAAACTGTCTATTCATTGTAATTTTGGGGATACCCTAGACACTACCTTACGTGATCGCTTCGTGTGTGGTATAAACAAAGAGAACATTCAGCGCCGCTTATTAGCTGAAACGGATTTGACATTGGATAAAGCCCTAAAAACAGCGGTGGCAATGGAGACAGCCGGCCGCGATGCTGTTGAACTACAAGGTCAGAGAGGTCGCACGGAAAGTGTAAACAAAGTATCAAATTACCGCAGTGCAAACAGTAAACATAAGAGAAGGGGAAGTAACTCCTCCAACCCTAGCCAGCACAACCAACACAAATCAAGTACAATAAATTCAAGGGAAAGTGTTTTAGATGTGGAAGGGATCATCAAGGAACGAATTGTGCACACAGAGACAGCACATGCTTTTACTGCTCCAAAAAGGGTCACATCGAGTCGGTTTGTCTGAAAAAGAAACGCGACAAAGAAAAGGGTGTTAAGTGTGTACAATTAGAGGAAACTTATGATGACCTTGATCCAATATATCATATCACAAGTTTTTGTGTGAACAGTGTCAACACTAAATCAGTGGAACCTATCATCATTAGCCCTACCCTTAATGGTAAATCAGTTGCCATGGAGCTAGACACGGGATCAGCTGTTACAATCATTCCGAAATCAAAACTAGATGAACATTTCTCAGCATACAGCCTGAAGGATACAAATGTGAGACTCAAAACCTACTCTGGAGAACAGATCAGACCGCTTGGTACTGTCAAGTTTAATGTTAACCTACATGATCAGACAAAACAACTGGATGTTTATGCTGTGGCACAAAATGGCCCTACATTATTTGGACGTGACTGGTTGAAACAACTCAAACTGGATTGGCACGAGGTCAAGATTAACTGGGTCAAGTCTAATCCTACTTTGGACACCAATACTCAGTTGAAGTCCATGCTAAAAAACTATTCGGAAATATTTTCTGAAGGAATAGGGAAACTGAAAGGTACTGTGGCTAAACTATCACTTGTCGACAACACACACCCAAAATTTGTCAAGGCAAGACAAGTACCATATGCGTTGAAACCAAAAGTAGAGGAGGAACTTGAACGTCTTCAAAACGAAGGGATTATCTCCCCTATCGAGTTTTCAGATTGGGCAACCCCAATTGTACCAGTAGTAAAGTCAAGTGGTCGGATCAGGGTCTGTGGGGATTACAAAGTGACACTAAACCCTGTTATGAACATTGAACAGTACCCTCTCCCCAGGATAGAAGATATATTCGCATCTTTATCTGGTGGAAAGAAGTTTACAAAAATAGACTTAACACAGGCCTACTTACAAATGGAAGTTGACAACACTACCAGTGAATTACTCACAATAAATACTCACAAGGGACTATTCCGATACAACAGATTGCCATTCGGAATAGCCTCTGCACCCGCAATCTGGCAAAGAGCTATGGACCAGTTACTCCAAGACATTCCATACACAAACTGTATCCTGGACGACATGATCATCACAGGGAGAAATGATAGTGAACATTTACAGAACTTAAATACTGTGCTGGAAAGATTATCGAAACACGGGTTACGTGCTAATCTGGAGAAGTGCCAATTCTTCCAAGACAAAATTAACTACTGTGGTCATGAGATAGATGAAAAGGGACTACACAAATCTGCGGACAAAGTGAAAGCTGTGGTAGATGCTCCACGACCTGAGAACGTATCACAAGTTAGGTCGTTTCTTGGACTTGTTAACTACTACCACCGGTTCATACCTAACCTAGCAACCATCATTGCCCCATTGAACAATCTCCTTGGAAACGACGCTGATGGATGGAAATGGTCAGAACAGTGTGAGGAAGCTTTCACTAAGGTTAAGGAACTTATCGTGTTAGATGAAGTACTTTGTCATTATGACCCTGACTTGCCTGTCCGTCTGGCAAGCGACGCTTCACCTTATGGCCTTGGATGTGTCTTATCACATGTATTCAAGAATGGGTCCGAACGTCCGATCGCCTTTGCATCAAGGTCACTGTCAAAAAGTGAACGTGCGTATTCTCAGATTGATAAAGAGGCATTAGGAATCTTTTGGAGTGTGCAGAAATTCCACACCTACCTCTATGGTCGACACTTTACACTCATCACTGACCATAAACCTCTAGTAAGAATATTTCACCCTGAAAAATCCGTACCAACAATGACCGCGTCACGTCTCCAAAGATACGCTATTTACTTAGCTGGACATAATTACGAGATTATATATCGAAACACACATGACCATGGCAACGCCGACGCACTTTCTCGTCTACCACTGACGTCACAAAAAGAGGAACCTCCAGACCCTGACGCAATCTTCTATACAACACAAGTTGAGAAACTACCCGTCTCTGAAACACAGATTCGTCGAGATACCAGCCGTCATCCTATCTTATCTCAGGTACTAGACTTGGTAAATCAAGGTCAATCGTTACCCAAAAGTGAGTCATTCAAACCTTACAAAAACAGACAACAAGAACTTACCTCACACCAAGGTTGCCTTATGTTTGGCAATAGAGTCGTTATACCCCCCTCACTTCGTGACAAGGTCCTTGAGGGGCATGCAGGAATTGTGCGGACTAAATCATTAGCCAGATCTTATGTTTGGTGGCCTGGCATTGACTCTGATATCGAAAACCAGTGTGCTACGTGCTCCGAGTGCCAGCATCACTTAGCGAAACCAAAAACAGCACCAGTACATCCCTGGGACTTCCCATCATCACCATGGGAACGGTTACATGCAGATTTTGCCGGACCTTTTAAAGGACATATGTACTTAATACTGGTTGATGCTCATTCGAAATGGCCAGAAGTTGTCAGAATGGCCTCTACAACATCTAGTCACACTATTGATGTCTTACGGAACACCTTTGCACGATACGGTTTACCAAAACAGTTGGTGACTGATAATGGACCTCAGTTTGTTTCTGAAGAGTTTAAAGATTTCCTACAGGGAAATGGTATCAAACACATTACCTCTTCACCTTATCATCCCCGTACCAACGGACTTGCCGAACGATTTGTGCAAAGCTTCAAAAACGCTATGAGGAAGGAAGGAAAACCCTTACACCAACGACTTAGCACGTTTCTGTGTCTCTACAGAAATACTCCACATACCACTACAGGTGAGACCCCTGCCAAACTCTTGCTTGGTAGAAATCTTCGTACCCGACTGGACATACTTAAGCCGGATATGACACAGCGTGTGGAAAGGAACCAGGAAAAGATGAAACTTTCCAAACATACAGGAAGTGAAGTCCGAAACTTCACTACAGGACAAACAGTCATGGTCCAGGACTACCGTGGAAATCTACCATGGGTCCGTGCCACAATCCATTCTCAACTGGGCCCGCTCTCATATAAAGTGGAGACCGTAGAAGGATCAATATGGCGTCGACATGTCGATCAAATGCGATCTACCTCGGTACAATGTCGTGAAGAAATGTCTCGCATGGATTACCCGATCGTGACACAGAGTACTACTACTAGTGTACCCATGAGTGTAGAGAGTCCAACACAGATCTCTGCTAAGAATACGGAAACTACTAGTACTGTGGACCCAACCCCAGTAAAGGCGCGTGTTACTAACAGGGAACCCTTGGAGACGAAGCCTCAGCAGGCACCCAGGTATCCGACAAGGGAGCGGCGAGCACCAAAGAGACTAGACCTATAAGGTTGTCTGAGACTGTGAATAGTAACTGTTATTGTGTTTAATGAACTGTTTAGTGTTTAGTGATAGTGTAATCACACGTGCAAAAAAAGGGCATAATAATCCCTGTGTGATTATCAGGACCAAAGGTTCTGTAGTTAAAAGAACTGTTTACTTTTTGAATTGTTTTCTATTGTTCTGACTTCAAGTTAAATTGTTTATCATTGTTGAGAGTTAAACATGCTTATTATATCTAATTACTAGTGATCTTATCAGCACTATATCTTACTGTTAAAAGTACAACACTTTTGAACTTTGTATTCAATTTGGACATTGGTAAAGTGACATTGGTCAAGTAATTCTTTTGTACCAAATAATTTTACTTTCTAAAATGGAAGGGAGGATATGTTGTATATTATATCCGGATAATGTGCATGCCTACTCTACGTATTGGTCACGCCATGCGTATGAATATGTGTATAGTGTACTACGTTGTGCGTTGAATAAAAAGTAGTTCCAAGATGG